TCACGAACCTTCGAGAAGATGACGTGTTACTAGATTCACGTGACCTCTGCTGTCGTAACAATATTAATTTAACTGTGTTTCACAGTAAATTTTTCGCTTCTATTTATAACATGGCCTTTCCACATGTCTTGTGGATTTGCTTTTTTAGAATAAGGGCACCTTATACAGTGGCGTAGGAAGCGGGGGTGGGTGGGTGTATCCCCCAATCTGTGCATCATAATTAGGAAACTTACTCTCAGGAAAAGCGGGATAATTCATAAAATTTAAACCAGACCTCACGAGCTTTCGATCGCTATTACATAAATGATGGAAGTAGGCCTAAGTACCTCTCACCTGTAAACATTTATTTAAAAAATAAGGATGTGATCAGGTCACCTAATGCTAGACATTTAAACCCTACACTAGTTAGAGCCTAAGAACAATATATTTAAGAGGGTATTATATGTAAAATGAATTCGATTAGTCTCTAACTAGTGAAATGTGTAACTTGAATTATGGACTTAAATAAGACACGCAAAACACAGAATGTAACTGTGGATACATACATGGACATTGTCCTGAATGGGGTCGGAGAAAGTGCAGTTTACTCCGACTCTCGTGTAGTATCAACAATCAACATTCGCGGACGTTACAGCACAGTCCGGAAAGGAGAAAGATGTCCCCGCGTACCTGACTCTCCTAGGTCACAAAGACCTAAATTCCGATCAGGATGAGAGAGAGAGAGTCCTAAGGCGGGACTTGGATTCCGGCCGTAATGGGTGCGCCTTGACCGCACGTCCTTCACTTCGCTCTGTTAGGCCACCTACTTTTAGTTTGCCTCCTAAATCTTTTATAATAACATGATTGACATTTTCAGTAAACATTTTAGTTTTCTCCAGTTTGGCGTGTAATAGTATTTATTCAACTTTTCGGTTATAAATATTCATGCTTTTCAACGCTAGGGTTTTTAAACAGACTCGCATTTTTTAGCCTATTCTCACGGTGATCCACTTATAACAGGTTGGGAAAGTAGTAAAGAACGGAGACGAGGCCTACATCAAAGAAGCTGGAGAAAGTTGCGCACGGGGAAAAGATCTCTTTACTCTGGGCATGAAGATAATAAAACAAGGTGAAGGTTACACCCATTGTTTATAAACAGGTTAAAAAAGTTAGCGAATATTTTATTTGTGTTTATAATTTAATATAAAAAGCATATGTCAGATGACTGGAATAATTTAAAAATAATAATAATAAAATTAAATAATTAGTGTGGAAAATTAAATAAATTATAATGTGTTACTAATCCTCACAGTGGTCTAATTGGCAGATAAATATGAGGAACTACTTGTTATAGGAGTCAAGGGGGAGTCATTCAGTAGTTTACCGCCAGATAAATATGGGGAACTACTTGTTATGTACTATAATAAGTGAAAAAAACATCCTCCATCCAGTCCCCCTATAATAAATGTACAAAATAAAATATAACAAGTGAAAAAACAT